GTCGATCTGAGACAATTATTTTTTCGTGCCTCAAAAAAAGGCAGTGTACAACCTTCCTTTTATACCAAAAATCGACTGCACCAAAATTTCTCGGGAAAACACTTTTTCTTATTAATTTTGGTGCGTAGAATCCAAAACAATTCGTACTTTTTCGATCAGACTTCTCCATTAAAAGTTATCGACTAGAAACAAATTTCGAAAGAAAACTCAATGGGCTGTAACTTTTGAACTAGTAGCCCAAACTTGAAACTGTTTGAAATTATGGATTCTTCAGGCCACATTCTATAAGAAAATTGTTTCTCCGGGTCGATCTGAGACAATTTTTTTTCCGGGGCTCAAAAAAAGGCAGTGTATAACCTTCATTTTTTACCAAAAATCGACTGCACCAAAATTTCTCGGGAAAACACTTTTTCTATTAATTTTGGTGCGTAGAATCCAAAACAATTCGTACTTTTTCGATCAGACTTCTCAATCAAAAGTTATAGACTAGAAACCAATTTCGAAAAAAATTCAAAGGGCTGTAACTTTTGAACTAGTAGCCCAATCTTGGAACTGTTTGAAATTATGGATTCTACAGGCCACATCCTATAAGAAATTTTTTTTCCGGGTCGATCTGTGACAATTTTTTTTCGGGGCTCAAAAAAGGCAGTGTATAACCTTCCTTTTTTACCAAAAATTGACTAAACCAAAATTTATCGGGAAAACACTTTTTCTTATTAATTTGGGTGCGTAGAATCCAAATCAATTCGTCCTTTTTCGATCAGACTTCTCAATCAAAAGTTATAGACTAGAAACCAATTTCGAAAAAAAATTCAAAGGGCTGTAACTTTTGAACTAGTAGCCCAATCTTGGGAACTGTTTGAAATAATGGATTCTACAGGCCACATTCTATAAGTAAATTTTTTTTCCGGGTCGATCTGAGACAATTTTTTTTGCGGGCCTCAAAAAAGGCAGTGTATAACTTTCCTTTTTTATTAAAAATCGACTACACCAAAATTTCTCGGGAAAGCACTTTTTCTTATTAATTTTGGTGCGTAGAATCCAAAATAATTCGTACGTTTTCGATTAGACCTCTCAATAAAAAGTTATGGACAAAAAACAAATTTCGAAAAAAAATTCAAAGGGCTGTAACTTTTGAACTAGTAGCCCAATCTTGGAACTGTTTGAAATTATGGATTCTACAGGGCACATTCTATAAGAAAATGTTTTTTCCCGGTCGATCTGAGACAATT